TGGGGGACAGAGTGAGACTCCAACTCAAAAAATAAATAAATAAATAAATAAATAAATAAAACAGTAAAGATTTATTTTCTGAGATTGTGGTTACATCTCAAGTGATGGTTCATACTAAATCCCAGACCCTATGAAAGGGTGTATTTTAATATCCTTTGAATTGGGCAGGGAATCCCAATTTATGTACTTCTGTGGGCTCATGTCTATCTTTCCAGCACTTTGGGAGGCCAAGGCAAGTGGATTGCTTGAGCCTGGGGGTTTGAGACCAGTCTGGGCAACATAGTGAGGCCTCATCTGTACAATAAATAAAAATATTATCCGGGCGTAGTATCACACACCTGTGGTTTCAGCTACCTGGAAGGCTGAGGCAGAAGGATCAGCTAAGCCCAGCAGGTCAGGGCTGCAGTAGCTATGATATGACACTAGACTCCAGGCAGGGTGAAAGAGTGAGACTCCAGCTTAATCAGTCAGTCAGTAGTTGACAGAGACAGGAGCTGTAGTGAACCGGGAGTGCATGCTTTTCTAAAGGCATTCACTTTTACATTTCCTTAAAATGTGCTAGCCAAACAAAATGCAGCTGATCCTCAGTCCCAGCAGTTTTCCAGCCACACACTAGGACTAAATGTGAACCTGTTTTTCTTTTTTTGTGTGTGTATGTCAGAGTCTCACTCTGTCTCCCAGGCTGGAATCTAGTGGCACGCTCACGGCCACCACAGCCTCTACCTGCTGGACTCAGGTGATCCTTCCACCCCAACCTTCCAAGTAGCTGTAACCACAGGCATATACCACCACACCTGGCTGATTTTTTGAAATGTTGTCTCACCATGTTGCTCAGACTAGTCTGGGACCCCTGAGCTCAGGCAATCCTCTTGTCCCGCCTCCCAAAATGCTGGAATTGCAGGCATGAGCCACTGTGCCCGGCTGGACCTGTTTTTCAAATGCAAAGAAGAGTATACTCAATACTGTTAAATTTTGTTTTAATTAAGAGAGAAACCTAGGTATCTAGGTATTTGGCAAGAAAAAAAAAACCCATTAAGAGAACTTAAGCAATCAAAAGAAATAAAATCTACATTTTGAAACCCAAGCAATTAAAAAAAAAAGAACATCCGACTACTTGGAAGTTTGAGGTGGAAGGATTGCCGGAGCCCAGCAGGTCGAGGCTGCACTCCAGTCTGGGCGACAGAGTGAGACTCCAACTCAAAAAAAAAGAACAGAGAACTCAGAAATAGAATCTTAGACCTGGCTCAGTGGCTCAGCCATGTAATCCCGGCACTTTGGGAAGCCAAGTCCGTGGGTTCGAGACCAGCCCGGGCAATTTGGCGAGACCTTGTCTCTACAATAAAATAAAATTTAAAAATTAGCCGGGTGTGGTAACGCATGCCTGTAGTTCCAGCTACTTGGAAGCTGAGGTGGAAAGATTGTCGGAGCCCAGCAGGTCGAATACTGGGGTGACCGTGAGTGTGCCACCGCACTCCAGCCTGGGTGACAGAGACTCTAACTCAAAAAAAAGAAAGAAATAGGATCTCCAGAAAATGTAGCAACTTGAACCAGTCAATATCACAGAAAGGTAGCACCACTGTTATAGAATTTGATACTTTAAGTAATGACTGTGCACATTAAGAACAATTATATTATTTTCCCTGTACCTTGGGAAAGCAGAGAAGTGGGCAGTCACTATAGAAGCATTTATAGTCATTTGTAAATGTTCAGTATTGAAATATATATTTCATGTATTTTTCATTTAGTTATTTAGAATATTGTCCAAAATGGAAACCTGATGTTGCAATGATGATCTCAATCTGCTGATCAAAAGTTTACTTGGTGTTTGTCCTATAGTACTTTAGAAACGTGTCTTCTCTTAATTATATCTTTGGGCTTATATGCATTTTGATTATATTAGACTTACAAATTTTTACAGATATTTGTATGGAAAAATATATTAAGGATTTAAGCTGTCTGGTCATGGTGGCTGAAGCCTGTAATCCCAGTACTTTAGGAGGCCGAGGCGAGAGGATTGCCTGAGCTCAGGGGTTCAAGACTAGCGTGGGCAAATTGGTGAGACCTCGTCTCTACAGTTAATCCAGAAAAAAATGATTTAAGCTAAAAAGAGAAAAGCAGATGATGTAAATGTGTTGAAGTCAATATAAAGTTGAAGATGTTAATTTCTCTTTACTTTTTTTATAGATGTAGTCTAAGAAAATAGTTTAGAAATTACTTAACTCAGCCGGGCGCAGTGGCTCAAGCCTATAATCCTAGCACTTTAGGAGGCCAAGTCTAGAGGATTGCCTAAGTCCAGGGGTTTGAGACCAGCCTGGGCAACATGATGAGACCTCGTCTTTACAATAAATCAAAAAATTAGCCGACTGTGGTAGGAGGCGCCTGTAATTCTGGCTACTTGGAAGACTGAGGTGAAAGCATTGCCTGAGCCAAGCAGGTCAAGATGTGGTGGCCGGGAGTGTGCCACTGCATTCCAGCCAGGGTGACAGAGTGAGACTCCAACTCAAAAAAAAAAAGGAATTACATAACTCTAATGTGTATATTTCTGAACAACTTAGATCTTTTAGTGAGTATTGTTAACATTGGCTTAAATTTTAGAAGCCTAAATTAATCCAAAAATTTGCATATTTTCATTTTATAGCTTGAATTTGGCATTTATATGTGAAAGATTTTTAACTAATATTTTGCTTCTTCTCAACTCTTAAAAAACAAAACAGCCCAGCGGTCTGCTCAGGAACTTCCTCATATTGAGAAATACAGTATCAACAGTTGTTCTGTAAATGGAGGTCATGAAATGATTGTGACTGGATCTAACTTCCTTCCTGAATCCAAAATCATTTTTCTTGAAAAAGGACAAGGTAAATACGATTTTAGTTGGTTGATTTCAAACAAAGATACAAAAGGATGAATAAACTATTTTAAGTAACAAGAATTGCAAAATGTTTTCCTAAAGCTACTGGAATCATTTTTGTACTAGATTTTATTGTAAATGAAACTTTTATTAACTTTCATATAAAATGTCAAAATTATCTTTAAGAAGCTGGATGTAAAGGTACACCACATCTATAGTAGGTATGTTTACATACACAAGTATGTGCATGCATACACACACACACACACACACACACACACACACACACACACACACACATGACCTTTAAGGATATCTTAAAAATAGAATTCACTGAGTGTGGTGGCTCATGTCTGTAATCTCAGCACTTTGGGAGGCAGAGGCAAGAGGATTACCTGAGCTCAGGGGCTCAAGACCAGCCTGAGCAGCATGGCAAGACCTCATCTCTACAATTAAAAAAAAAATATCAGCCATGCATGGTGGTGCATGCCTGTGGTTCCAGCTCCTTGGAAGGCTGAGGCCGAAGGATTGTCTGAGCCCAGCAGGTTGAGGCTCTGGTGGCCGTGAGCATGCCACTGTACTCCAGCCTGGGTGAGACTTTGAGTCCAAAAAAAAAGAATTACCCCAGCAATTCTACTCCTAAGTATATATTCAAAAGTATTGAAAACATACATTCATACAAAAACTTACACAAATGTTTATGGCAACTTTATAATAGCCAAAAAATTGAAACAACCCCATGGTCACCAACTGATGAATGTATAAACAAAATGTTGGTTATATCCATATAGTAGGATATTTGACTATAAAAATTAATGAAGTGTTAATATATGCTGCAGCATGAATAAACCCTGAAAATATACTAAGTGAAAAAAAGCCTGCACAAAAGGACACATATTATATGATTCTGTATGATCCCATATGTCCAGAATAAGCAGTCCGCAGAGGCAGAAAGTAGATTAGTGGTTGCCAGTGATTGAAGAGAGGTGTCAGAAGTGACTGCTAGCCGGGCTCAGTGGCTCAGCCTGTAATCCCATGCCTTTGGGAGGCTGAGGTGAGTGGATTGCCTGAGCCCGCGGGTTTGAGACCCACCTGGGCAACTTGGCGAGACCTCATCTCTACAATAAATGAAAAAAATTAGCTGGGCGTGGTAGCACGCACCTGTAGTTCCAGCTACTTGGAAGGCTGAGGCAGAAGGATCGCTGGAGCCCAGCAGGTCGAGGCTGCGGTGGCTGGGAGCACGCCACTGCACTCCAGTCTGGGCGACAGAGTGAGACTCCAACTCAAAAAAAAAAAAAAGTGACTGCTGATGGAAACAGGGCTTCTTTGTAGAGTGTTCTGAAATTAGATAGTGGTGATGGTTCTGAAAATGTTCTGAAATTAGATAGTGGTGATGGTTGTACAACCCTGTATTTTGTATTATTGTAGAGACCTCATCTCTACAATAAATCAAAAAATCAGTCAGGCATAGTAGCGCATGCCTGTAGTTCCAGCTACTTGGAAGGCTGAGGCAGAAGGATCACCGGAGTCCAGTAGGTTGAGGCTGCAGTGGCCGGGAGCAGCCACTGCATTCCAGTCTGGGTGACATAGTGAGACTTCAACTCAAAAAAAAAAAAAAAATTGTTTTCTGGTTCACATCTGTAATTCCAGCACTTTGGAAAGCTGAGATGAGAGGATTGCTTGAGGCCAAGAATTCAAGATCACCCTGGGCAACATAGTGAGACCTCATCTCTACAAAAAATACAAAAATTAGCTGGGCATGATAATGTACACCTGTAGTCCCAGCCACTCTGGAGGCTGAGATCAGAGAATTACTTGAGGTCAAGGCTGCACTGAGCTGGAATTTCACCACTGCATTCCAGCATGGGTGACAGAATGATACCGTGTCTCAAAAAAATAAGATGTAAAAGGCTGTACATTGCCCCATCATCTGTCTTTTATAATTTCGTACCTTTTTTCACTGAATTCTCCTCCTCAGAGTTTATATTCAAGCCTTCTCATTCTAAGTGTTCCCTTTCCCTTAACTCTGTCATCCTTAGACTCTTGTTCCATTTTTCTACCATTTAGTACCCAACCTCTAAAAAAAGTAGTATATAATCTACTTTCATTTCCTTGCCTGCTGCTTTCTAATCTTTTGTTTTTTACGCCATTGAAATAATAATGTCCTAAAAATCCATTTGATAGTTGGCTACCCACTCTACTTCTTGCCACTCTTTTTTTTTCTTGACTTTAGTAATTGTTTGTATCTAGTTCTCAGACATCTTTATTCCCATTCATCTTTTTAACCAGTTTTTCTGATTCTTAGATATTTTCTAAGGTTTTTATATTCAGCTTTCTTTTCATTATATTCTTTCTTTCTGAGAAGTTTCATTAGCTCCCAAATCTCTGTATAGCAATATTACTTCTCTTAAACTTTATTTTAGTATTATTATTTTTTTGAATAGGCCTCTCACTCTGTTGCCTAGGCTGGAGTACAGTGGCATGCTTAGGACCATTGCAGCATAGACCTACTGGGCTCATGAGATTCTTCTGCCTCAACCTTCCAAGTAACTGGAACCACAGGCAAGCACCATCACGAACTGCTAATTTTTTTATTTATTGTGGAGATGAGGTCTTGCCAAGTTGCTCAGGGTGGTCTTAAACCCCTCAACTCAGGCAGTCCTCTCACCTCTGCCTCCCAAAGTGCTGGAATTACAGGTGTGAGCCACTGTGCCCAGCTCTTTTAAACTTTAACATATTCACTATGTGACTACATAGATGTCCCACTAATACTTAAAATTTGGAAATATGTCTAATTTTACAAACTAGTTTATCTCACTGAGTTTCCTAATGTGAATAATAAGAGCAGGCTGGGTGCAGTGGCTCATGCCTGTAATTTAAGCACTTTCAGAGGTGGAGGCGAAAGGATTGCCTGATCGCAGGGGTTCAAGACCAGCCTAGGCAAGTTGGTAAGACCTCGTTTCCACAATAAATAAAAAATTAGCCAGACACGGTGATGTGTGCCTGTAGTTCCAGCTATTTGGAAAGCTGAGGCGGAATGATTGCCTGGGCCCAGCAGGTCAAGGCTGCGATAGCCGTGAAGGTGTCACTGTACTCCAGCCTGGGCAACAGAGTAAGACCTCTAATAATAATAGTAATAATACCACCAAGACCTTCTTGATCTGGAAACCATGTAGTTGATTGTCTTCTCCCTTAAAATTTACTCCCCTTCAACACCCTAAACCTTAACCAGTGCCCTGCCTCTCTTCAAGAAATATCAGTTCTGTTTCACAATTTATTATTTCATCAATTATTTATGAAACACTGCTATGTGATATAGACACTAGTCTAGGCATCGAGGATATATGGTGAATAAAAACCTTCAGATTTCTGACTGGGCACAGTGACTCATGCCTATAATCCCAGCTCTTTGGGAGTCCGAGGTGAGAGGATTGCCAGAGCCCACAGGTTCAAGACCAGCCTGAGCAACATGGCGAGACCTCATCTCTACCATAAATAAAAAAAAAATTAGCTGGGTGTGGTGACACATACCTGTAGTTCCAGGTACTTGGATGGCTGAGGCGGAAGGATCAACTGAGGCTGCAGTGGCCATGAATGTGCCACTGTACTCCAGCCTGGGCGACAGAGTGAGAGTCCTACTCAAAACAAAACAAAATCTTCAGGTTTCAAGGCCTCATAGAGCTTATATTCTGGTCAGAGTGGAAATAATATATATATTAAAAAATTAGTAAACAAGATAATTTCAGGTAAAATTGTGAAGGAAGAAGGTATAGTGATCGAGATTGAAAAGTAAAATTTATGTAATAAATGATAAAGGAATGCCTTTCTTGAGAGGTCACGTTTTAGGTGAACAAGGAACATAAGGAAGACCCAGTGTCTCAGACCTATTCCTTTCTTTCCATTGTAAAAATTACAATATGTTGTACTTGAATAAAATTAATATGTATGTAGGTTTATTATTATTATATATTTTTTTAAGTTGGAGTCTCACTCTGTCGCCCAAACTGGAGTGCAGTGACACGCTCCTGGCCACTGCAGCCTCTACCTGCTTGGGCTCCAGCGATCCTTTTGCCTCAGGCTTCCAAGTATCCAGAAATACAGGTGCACACTACCATGCCCGGCTAATTTTTTTATTTATTGTAGAGATGAGGTCTCGCCAAGTTGCCCAGGTAGGTCTCGAACCCCTGGGCTCAGGCTGTCCACTCACCTCGGCCTCCCAAAGTGCTGGGATTACAGGCTGAACCACCAAGCCCAACCAGGTATATTACTGAATTCCTTTTATTTGACCCGTTGAAAAGCTTTTCACAGAAAATGAATCATGTTAAATAATGGCAGTTATTGGCTTCCGAAGAGATTGCAATTGTAAACATCTCTCATTTCTAAAAGCTTGTCAGTGATCCCCTTCATTTTTCAGGGCTCCTTAATGTGGTATTTAGGACATAATCTGCTGCCTATCTTTCTAACCGTCTTTCTTGCGGCTCCCTGCCTCATACTTTATAGTTCATCAACACAGCTGCCTGTGGTTCTCTGTATCTTAGGCTTTCTTGCTCTCTTGCCTTTCCTCATGCGATCTGTTCTGTCTATCCTTTCCCCACATTATGAATTCCATTTCATCTTTAAGTCTTAGTTCAAGAGCTCATGCCAAAACCTTCCTTGTCTCACTCCCACACCCTAAGATTAGGTTAAGGATTCTAACCTCTTTGTTCTTGGACCCGACATCTGTGTTCATCCAGACTACATCTTTATTAGTTATTATACCAACCACATTTTATTATAATGAACTATTTGTGTTTGCCTTTCATCTACAGACTGAAGGCAGAGTAATCTGTCTCATTATCTCATTAACCTGAAGTGTCTAGCATGTAAGGATCCGGCAAATGATTGCTAAACTGAGCTGTAATTCTAAGTAGGCGTAGCATTTGTCATTAGTGTATCTTGTGCAGCAGAGGTAGCCGTTACCTAGTTACTGAACTGGAAAATGATAGCCATAATCTGGAAAACATTTAATGAAGTTTCTCCTGATACCTTCATGTACCAGGTAAAGAAGTTATGCTAGCTGTGAAAATACGTATATAGCTTAGTCATTGGGTCAATACCAATGACACAGAAAGAATGTTTTGGAATAGCTGCTCACCAGAGTGGAGTTCTGAGAGCTTTCGTAGCAAATGGGGCTCTCTCCAAGTGAGTAAGTTTACTTGAGGAGAGAAAAAAATATGTTGATCAAATGTCTTTTTTTTTTTTTTTGAGTCAGAGTCACTCTGTCACCCAGGCTAGAGGGCAGTGGCACGCTTCTGGCCACCACAGCCTCAACCTGCTGGACTCAGGTGATCCTTCCGCCTCAGCCTTCCAAGTAGCTGGAACTATAGGCACGTGCCATCATGCCCGGCTAATTTTTTAATTTATTGCAGAGATGAGGTCTCACCCAGGCTGGTCTTGAATCCATGGGCTCAGGCAATCCTCTCACCTTGGCCTCCTAAAGTTCTGGGATTATAGGTGTGAGCCACCACAACCAGCCTGAAATTTTTTTTTTTTGAGTTGGAGTCTCACTGGGTCGCCCAGGCTGGGGTGCTGTAGCATGCTTAGGGCCACCCCAGCATCGACCTGCTGGGCTCCGGCCATCCTTCTGCCTCGGCCTTCTAAGCAGCCGTCACTATAGGCGCATGCTACCATGGCTGGCTAATTTTTGATTTATTGTAGAGATGAGGTCTCGCCAAGTTGCCCAGGCTGTTCTTGAACCCGTGGGCTCTGACAATTCACTCACCTTGGCCTCCCAAAGTGCTGGGATTACAGGCTGAGCCACTGAGCCCGGCCCCTAAAATATTTTTAAAGACTATTGAGTATCTAAAAAGAATCTTGACAAGTCAAATGATCCAACAAAATGAAGTCTCCCTATTGGGAGAAATTAATGTTATAGGGGTTGGGGGGAAAAAACCTAGCTGCATCAGTGTACAGTGTGGGAACTTGGTAGTAGGAAATGTGACAGACTGAAGGATACATGTTGGTCACATAATTTAATGTGAGAGTCAGCATGGTGTGGCTCCCAAGAAAGCTTTCCACAGGGTGGTAAGAGCCTCACTCTCTACCTTGCTTGGGCTGTTTCTGGGCCTGGTGCATTTGGAGGAAAAATGGTCACACTGGAGGAGCATGTGCAAAGAAGAGTGACCGAAGAAACTAAAATATTGTATAAGGGATAGGTGCAGAACTATCCCTTACCAACAGGAGAGCAGACACATGCGGGCGTAGCTACTTTTCAACATCTGGAATATTGTCTCATAGAGAAGCAATCAAGATTTGGGTTTTGTTTTGTTTTTGTGGTTTTTTTGAGTTGGAGTCTCACTCTCGCCCAGACTGGAGTGCAGTGGCCGCTCCCGGCCACTGCAGCCTTGAACTGCTGGGCTCCGGCGATCCTTCTGCCTCAGCCTTCCGAGTAGCTGGAACTACAGGCGCACGCTACCACACCTGGCTCATGGTTTTTTTTGTTTTGTTTTGTTTTTCTGAGTTGGAGTCTCACTCTGTCACCCAGACTGGAGTGCAGTGGCCGCTCCTAGCCACCGCAGCCTCGACCTCCTGGGCTCCGGCGATCCTTCTGCCTCAGCCTTCCAAGTAGCTGGAACTACAGACGCGTGCTATCATGCCCGGCTAATTTTTTTATTTATTGTAGAAATGAGGTCTCACCAAGTTGCCCAGGCGGGTCTCGAACCCACAGGCTCAGGCAATGCACTCATTTCAGCCTCCCAAGGCGCATGATTACAGGCTGAGCCACCGAGCCCAGCTGCAATCAAGATTTGTATTTGTGGCTGCAATGGATAGTACTTAGACCTAGATACCATAAAGAGACAGATTTTATTTATTATACTGAGAGTTCTAGCACCAATTATTATCCAAAGATGGCATGAATTACTTAGTGAGGAAGTGAGTTTCCCATCTCTTGAGGTACATAAGCAAGAGTTAGCCACCACTTGGCCAGAGTGCTCTCAGAGGAGTTTTAAACATCGCTTGGGTTGAGGAGTAGAATGGACTCTGTGGGGTCTGCTCACTTGAGCAAAAATCTTTTCCTTAGTTTTTTCTGCATTGGTATACATTCACATTTTATTTTCATAATGGAAGTCAGAAAAAAGATTTCCTTTGCTAATAAATGTGTGATACTACATGCATTAGATTCTGTTTGTATGCTTTCTGACATGAATTGCTTTCAACTAAATTTTTTTCTTTCAATAGATGGAAGACCTCAATGGGAGGTAGAAGGGAAAATAATCAGAGAAAAATGTCGGGGGGTAAGAAATTTAACTTCATTGTTAAGAAATATTTAAGAAGCTTAATGAGAAAATTGAATAATTCTGCTTTATGGTATAAATAAGGAGTCTTTTTTATATATATGGAGTAATAAAAGTAAATTTGAAATTTTAGAAGTTTGAAAGTGAGATACTTTTTAATATTAAAATTAAAGTTTAGGAACGATAACTAGTTGATTTCTTTCTTCTCTTTTTGATGTATAAGAAAGGAGAAATTGGAAATGCAAGAAGATTATCAGAAGGTTCTTACTGAATTATCATTCATTTCTCTGAATTCAGTGAAGAAATAAGAACAGACTTCCTAAAGAACATATATAGTAGACAAAAGACAGAAGGAGGACAAACCCTTAGGAATTTGTGTATTTAACACAGTATTTCACACTCCTCAACTACCTTATTCAGGATTCCACATTGAAAGGTCTGGTCCCGTTATCCTGGTTGAAATGGAGACAGACTCTTTCTGGAGTAGGGAATCCCACTTCCCACAGTGATTTCAAAAGACCTGTAACAATTAGGTTGAGGATTACATTTAGTTTGAGGCCAAAGATTTTCACCCTGCTTGTGTAAAATTATTTTCAATCTGGCTATAGATTTTTGGGTAATGCCAGTTAGAACATTTTGAATATAAAACTTAAGAGATCTAAACTGTAAGGCAACTTGGGAAATATTAGATGTGATTAAAAACCAGAATGGACATCCTGTTAAGGTAAATAGTAACATGTAATATTTAGTAGAACAGAATGTTTCACTATATAGTATATAAGACTTTATTTCTACTACCACTAGAAACCCAATTGAGTGGGTGAAAAGCAAATGATTACAGGACTTATCTCTGTCAAGACTCAAGTATCCATATAGTAAATCTCCAGATGACTTACATGACTAGTCGATACGCATAATTGTCTGTGACGGGAGAGCTTTGTAGTTAGGACTCATGAGTTGTACTGAGTTTAGCAGGTGCATTTCATTTTTAGTTCTGAGTGTAACACAATCTTGCCTTCCATGTTCTTTAGGCTCACATTGTCCTTGAAGTTCCTCCATATCATAACCCAGCAGTTACAGCTGCAGTGCAGGTGCACTTTTATCTTTGCAATGGCAAGAGGAAAAAAAGCCAGTCTCAACGTTTTACTTACACACCAGGTATGAGGCATTGTTGTGATGGTTTACTATAACAGAGCTTTCTTTCATAATGAATAAAAGGTTATTCAGTGAATCCTATAATAGAATGTTTAATGTAGGGTGCTTATAATCAGTGAAAACACCAACATTTGCCTAATCTAAAGTTCATGTTGATTTAAATATTAGATGTGACTGGATGTGGTGGCTCATGCCTATAATCCCATCACTTTGGGAGGCAGAGGCGAGAGGATTGCCTGAGCCCATGGGTTTGAGACCAGCCTGGGCAACATGGCAAGACCTTGTCTCTACAATAAAATAAAATAAACTAGCCGAGCGTGGTGGCATATACCTGTATTTCCAGCCACTTGGAAGACTGAGGCAGGATGATCGCCTGAGCCCAGGAGGTCGAGGCTGTGGTAAACATGAGTGTGCCACTGGATTCCAGCCTGGATGACAGAGTAAGACTCCAATTAAAAAAAAAAAAAGCAAGCCGGGCTCGGTGGCTCAGCCTGTAATCCCGCGCCTTTGGGAGGCTGAGGTGAGTGGATTGCCTGAGCCCGCGGGTTCGAGACCCGCCTGGGCAGCAAGACCTCATCTCTACAGTAAATCAAAAAATCAGCCGGGCGTGGTAGTGTGCGCCTGTAATTCCGGCTACTAGGAAGGCTGAGGTGGAAGGATCGTCGGAGCCCAACAGGTCGAGGCTGTGGTGGCTGGGAGCGGCCACTGCACTCCAGTCTGGGCAACAGAGTGAGACTCCAACTCAAAAAAAGTGATTCAAACAGCAAGAGTGTTTTGAATATACAGACAAAGCATCAATGATGATAAAGAATATCAGGTTTCTGAGAAAGGTGGGAGGGGATAGGATTTAAAATGGGCCTCAGCTGGCAGAAGGAAGGAAGAGAAGATGAAGATGGGTAAGGTAGATATATAGGCTGGGGGCAGTGACTCATGCTTGTAATCCCAGTACTTTGGGAGGCCAAGGTGGGAGGATGACTTGAGTCTAGGAGTTCAAGGCCAGCCTGGGCAATGTAGGGAGGCATCATCTCTACCAAAAAAAAATTTTTTTTTTAAAATTAGCCATGTGTGATGTCACCTGTCAACCTGTGTTCCCAGTTACTTAGGAAGCCAAGGCAGGAGTATCGCTTGAGCCTAGGAGATCAAGGCTGCAGTGAGCTGTGATTGTACTACTGCACTCTAGCCTGAGTGTCAGAATTAGACCCTGACTAAAAAAAAAACAAAAACAAAAAAGATGGATATATAGGAAAGTTGGTAGATATGGAAATGGGGAGTTTAGGAAATTTCAATATGATAGCTTCAGATTTCTTCCTGCAAAAAATGACATAAAGTCTTCTGTTGTAGGCAGAAGGTAGTGTGGGTGATTCGACAGTTTGAAGATCATGAAGGTTTGACTATAAATAGTTGATATAAGGAGAAGAAGAATAAGTTTACCACAGAAACTTAGTAGGATTCCAAACTTGATTGAAGAGTACCTTTGATACTGATATTCATGAATTTATAGATACTCACTAGCCCTGCTTTTAACTTTCTTAAGCAGTACTCAGATTCTTCAGGATAGGTGGTAAAATAACGGATAGTAGAGCCCCTCCTGAGTAGGATGTAGCAAAAATTTAAGGATGTTACCAAATGCTGTTGAGATGAAGGACTGTAGAGTCTAAGCTGAATAAGAAGGGAGAGGCATGTAGGATTTTTTAAAAAGCAGATGAAAGGTTTTGATTACTATCTTATAATGGTAGGAATTGAAAGGCAAGACACGTCTGACTCGGTGGCTCACCCCATAATCCCAGCACTTTGGATTGCCTGAGCCCTCGGTGGCTTACCCTGTAATCCCAGCACTTTGGATTGCCTGAGCCCATGGGTTCAAGACCAGCTTGGGCAACTTTGTGAGAGTACTTGAAAGGGTGATCACCGGAGCCCAGCAGGTCGACGCCGGGGTGGCCGTGAGTGTGCCATTGCATTGCATGCTGGGCGACAGAGTGACACTCCAACTCAAAAAAAAGGCAAACAGGAGAAAAATGTGCTGTCTTTATATCATTTGCTCATGATTTGGTAGGACAAAAAAAAAAGGCAGACTCCTAGAGGGCATTATATATGAGAGTGAAAATCTGTGGAGCCTAGGAATGGTGAGAGAATATTAGATTGGACTATAACTGCCATCACTGGTCTTATGGTTGACAGAATACAAATCAAGTGGTATGCACTAATGGAAGGAAGAGTGGACATACAGGAGTGTTTGGACAGTTCTTTTTCTGGTTGGTGACTGTCTTTTCTCTGTAGCATTTAGCTACAATTTGAATAAAATTTGAATAAAATTTTTACAAAGACTAGGCACTGTGGCTCACGCCCATGATCCCAGCACTTTTGGAGGCCAAGATGAGAGGGTTGCCTGAACCCACAGGTTCGAGACCAGCTTTGGCAACTTGACGAGACATTATCTCTGCAATTAAAAAACAGAAAGAAAAAAAAGCCCAGCATGTTGGCATGCACCTGTAGTTCCAGCTACTTGGAAGGCTGAGACAGAGGGATCGCCTGAGCCCAGCAGGTCAAGGCTGTGGTGGCCGAGAGCATGCCACTACCCTCCAGCCTGGATAACAGAGTAAGACTCCAACTCAAAAAAAAATTTCTTTTTTACAAAAACCAGTACATTACTGTAACATTTTTAAAAGACAGGTGGAAGGATTTTTTTTTTTTTTTGTGTTGGAGTCTCACTCCATCGCCCAGGCTGGAGTGCAGTGGCACGCTCATGGCCACCCCAGCATCGCCCTGCTGGGCTCTGGCGATTCTTCTGCCTCAGCTTTCTAAGTAGTCAGAACTACAGGCACGTGCTACCATGCCCAGCTAATTTTTGATTTGTTGTAGAGACAGTGTCTTGCCAAGTTGTCCAGGCTGGTCTTGAACTTTCGGGCTCAGGCAATCCACTTGCTTTGGCCTCTCAAAGTACTAAGATTATAGGCTGAGCCACTGAGCCCAGCTGGAAGGAATATTTTTAAACATCTTTGAAAGCATCATTCTATCCTTCCAGATTCTCTTGATCTGTATATAAATACAACTTTTTAAAAATGGAAATAGGAGCAACGCATATATAATTTTGTAACTGAACATCTAATTTTTTTAATCAACGGATAGAGTTTTACAGAATTTTAATAGTTTCTTAGTATTCTGTGATATGACCCAGTCTCTTGTATGTTAGTGTTATTTTGTTTATCTTTGCATGAATTCTTTTTTTTAATACACTCACGTACACACACACACACACACACACACATATGCATACACAAGGGTCTGCACTGTTGTCTTAGCCCCACATGGGGTGATGCTGCCATGTGACATGATCTATCTCCTGCCACCTTGGGCCTTGGCATCTGAACTTTCTGCCTGGTGCTGGCCCCAGATCTTGGCAGGGTTGGCTCCTTCTCATCTTTCAACTCAGTAGCACTGCATCAGGGAAGCATTTCTAGACTCCAGACCACAGCCTCCTTCATCCATCCTTGAATAGCCTCCTTTGTGCATCCCAGTGCTGTGGGGGCGGGGTCAAGCCTATCCCTCTTGGGACCCAAGGTCCCTGATGTATGTGTCCACATGAACACTGAAAGCAGATCAGGGCTGATGGAGCTAGCACAGGAGCCAGCCACTCGGTCTTCACCCCTCCCAAGGATGCAGGGTAAACCTGGGGACATGAGTGATACTACCTCATGCCTTTCCCAGCCTTTAAAGCTCATACTCATCCCTTGTCAGGTCACCCTGATTCACAAGGCATGGCATGGAAGAGGCAGGCTCCTAGGTAGGACCGCAGTTACTAAGCCTCAGGCAGCTGGTCTACCTCATTGGGCCCAGCTGGAGGCACCAGGGAGTCAGGGAACTGCCTACCTGCCTACAATCTCCTGTATGAATTCTTTTTTTTTTTTTTTGAGTCAAAGTCTCAGTCTGTCACTCAGGCTGGAGTGCAGTGGCACAGTCATGGCTTACCACAGTCTCAAACACCTGGGCTCAAGTGATCTCTAGCCTCAGCCTCCTGAGCAGCTGAGACTACAGGTGTGCACTACCATGCCCAGCTAATTTTTTGATTACTTGTGGAGACGAGATCTCATTTGTGAGCTACTATGCCAAGCTGAATTATTTATATTAGAGATTTTAACCTTCTGTTTGTTTATGGCAAATAATTCCTTTAAAATTTTTATTTATAGGCTGAGTGCAGTGGCTTACGTCTGTAATCCAGAACTTTGGGAGGCTGAGGCAGGAGGATTGCTTGAGCCCAGGAGTTGGAGACCAGCCTGGGCAACATAGTGAGACCATCTCTACAAAAAATTTTTTTAAATTAGCCAGGTTTGGTGGTTCACACCCATAGTTTGAGCTGTTGGGAGGCTGAGGCAGAAGGCTTGCCTGAGCCCAGGAAGCTGAGGCTGTGGTAAACTGTTATTGTACCACTGCGCTTCAGCATGAGTGACACAGGGAAACCCCAACTCAAGGAAAAAATAACAAAGTAAAAAAATGTTTACTTATACAAAGTTTAGGCAGTCATACCTTGCTTGTTTTTCATTAAAGGACTTTTTAGTTTATTACCTTTTTGGCAACTCTCTTATAATAGGGATCTGACCAATATTATATCCAATGGAGGAATGATCATTAATTGCAAATAGCTGATTCTTTTGCTTTTTAAAAATTAATTATTATATTTAGCATTATTTGTTCAGCAGTCAGTTTCATGATAAAATAAAGACAGTTATCTATATGACTTACAAATTCCCTTAATCACAGATAGTGGGGCCATTGCCTTGCTAGAGTCTGGCGTGGCCATGTGCTCTTTGAGCCATGACTGTCGCCATGCTTCCTGGCTTTGGTCCCTCTCGTCCACCTGGGGAAGGTGAATCTTTTCTCTTTCTCTTTCTCTCTCTAATTTACTTTTAAATAAACTTTTCTTTCTTAAAAAAAAAAAATCACAGATAGTAATAGAGCACAGAACCCTTCCCTAGAAGTGCTGCCTGAAGTTTTGCCCAGCCTCTGACTTCAGAGATTTTGATAGGAGAGCCCCAACCCCACCCCAGCATCCCTGAAGCCATTGTTTGCACTTAGAGGTTCCATCGAAGCTATAATTTTAGAATAATGGTGCTTTTAGGGCAGCTTAGAGCCAAACTGTCATATATACCATTGTGCCTATGGGAAAGTATATTCTGTGTTCTAAGTAGTTGACTAGACAGATTGACTTTGGGTTTGTGATTGTTCTCATTTAGTGAGGAGATCAGGTCTCAAACCTGCCACAGACAGTACCCACTGAGAGTATTAGACTAAACTGATGGTTCTCAAATTGTTTAAATTGTTTTGTTCTTCATATAAAACCTTATGCAGTAACCAGTGTATCAAAAAAACTGCTGGTCGCAGTGGCTTACGCCTGTAATCCCAGCACTTTGGGAGTCAGAGGCAAGAGGATTGCCTGAGTCCAGGAATTAGAGACAAGCCTGGACAACTTGGTGAGAACTCATCTTTGCCAAAAAGTAGCCGGGTATGGTGGTGTGCACCTGTGGTTTCAGCTACTTGGCTGAGGCAGAAGGATCAACTGAGCCCAGCAGGTCAAGGCTGCAGTAACCATAAGCATGCCACTGCACTCCAGCTTGAGACTGCTACTTAAGAAACAGAGAAAGAGAAAGAGCAGGAGAGAGAGAGAGAAAGGGGAAGGGAGGGGAGGGAAGGGAAGGAAAGGGAATAAAAAGAAAATGGTTTCATTTGTACTGGAAAAGGAAATCCAGAGCTTCTCTGGATCCTAGGCTTCCACATCTGCTACTTGGAGGAGAGAGAAGTATCAGACTACCTGTGGTTTGAAAACCACCAGACCAGTTGATTTTCATTCACCAGCATTCTAAATTTGAAAATTAGTATACAGACTTATGCCTGTAATCCCAGCTCTTTGGGAGGCAGGGGTGAGAGGATTACCTGAGTCTCCAGGGGTTTGAGATCAGCCTGGGTAACTTGGCAAGACCTCGTCTCTACAATAAATTTTAAAATGTGCCAGGTATGGTGGCACATGCCTGTGGTTCCAGCTACTTGGAAGGCTGAGGTAGAAAGATCACCTGAGCCCAGCAGGTCGAGGCTGTGGTGGCCGTGAGCATGCCACTGTACTCTAGCCTGGATAAGAGTGAGACCTACTAAAAAAAAAAAAAAATAGTAAATATATTTTCTTATTCTGTGGGTTGCCCGTTCACTCTCTTGACAGTGTCCATTGCTCACAAGTTTTAAATCTTGATGAAGTCTAGTTTATCTATTTTTTTCTTTTGTTGCCTATGCTTTTGGTGTCATACTTAAGATACCGTTGCCAAATCCAAGTCATGAAGATTCTCCCTGGTTTTCTTCTAATAGTTTTATGGTTTTGATTTCTAAATTTGTCTTTGATTCATTTTGAATTAATGTTTGTATATTATTTAAGGAAAGTGTTCAACTTCATTCTTTTGCATACAGATATCCAGGTTTCCCAGCCTCATTTGCTGGAGAGTCCCCTTGCTTCCTCATTGAATAGTTTTGGCGCTCTTGTTTTTGAAAATGAATTGACAAAATATGTGAGAATTTATTTCTGGATTCTCTAATCCATTGATCTGTGTGTTAATCCTAATGCTGGAAGCACACTGTTTTGATTACTATGCTTTGTAGTAAGTTGCTTTTTGGGTTTTTTTTTGAGTTGGAGTTGGAATCCTGATTTCCTCCAACTTTGTTCTTCCTTTACAAGATTCTTTTGGTTGTCTCTGACCTAGGTAGAGTGGTAGCTGGTTGGTGGTGCTCATCTTCTAGCAGCCAAGGACAAAAGCAAACCCTTTTTTATCCTAACTTTACTTTTAATCTGTATCTATACCTTGGTCATGCCTTGGGCACATGGGAGAGAAAAGATTGGTTATTTGGGGTCCCTTGAGATTCTGTGAGTATTTTAGGATAAGTTTTTCTATTTCTGCAAAAAACATCATTGGAATTTTGATATGGATTGCACTGAACCTGAAGATTGCTTTGGGGGGAGTATTGTCTTCTTAGCAGTATTAAGTCTTTAATCCATGAACCTGGGAAGCCTTTCCACCTATTTAGGACTTCTTTAATTTTTTAGCAGTGTTTGGTAATTTTCAGTATGCAAGTCTTGCTCTCCTTAGTTAAATTCATTTTTGAGTATTTATTTTGTTTTGATGTTATTGTAGATGGAATTGATTTCTTAATTTTTTGGATTGTTTATTGCTAATTTACAGAAATACAACTTATTTTTGCATGTTAATTTTATATCTTGCAACTCTGCTGAATTTATTTATTACTTTTTGTGAATTTTGCCACTTATTTATCCTTCCATAATGGTGGAGGATCAAATGAGATGCATGTGAGAACCATTGTAAACCAGAAGCTCTATGACTACCAGATTCATGGTATCTGTTATATGATATAACATATAAAACCAGATGACTGGCACATTTCATATTAGGAATCCAAAATTGAATACTTTATTAGGCCATAGATTTTTGTTTTGTTTTATTAATTACTTTTGAATATATATATATAGTGAAAAACATTCAAAAGGCATTAAAAAGTACTCAGTAAAAACTAAACTTTCCTCCTGTCTTTGTCCCCTAGTTACCTAGTTTTCTTTCCTAGCAGGAAATCTAGCATAGTTTCTTGTATATCCTCCCAGAGATATGTATACATACACAAGCAGAAACGTGTACGTATGTATGTATGTATATTTACACACAGACACACACAGATATTTTACATGAACTACCTTCCCTGAAGGTATTGAATTTACGTGCCCTGGCTTGAATATATGCTAGATTGTGTAGCCTAGAATCAAGACCTGTCATAATTATTTGATATATTATATAACATTTGCTTTCATTATTTTCTTTTCAGTTTTGATGAAGCAAGAACACAGAGAAGAGATTGACTTGTCTTCAGTTCAGTCTTTGCCTGTGCCTCATCCTGCCCAGACCCAGAAGCCTTCCTCTGATCCAGGGCACTCACATGACAGTGTACTGTCAGCACAGAGAAGCTTGGTTTATCCCATCCAACAAGCATATGCATCCATGGTAACCTCATCTCATCTGCCTAAGTTGCAGGGTAGGGATGAGAGTGCTGGTAAAGAACAGCATATTATTCCTTCTCCAGTTGTGCACCAGCCTTTTCAAGTCACACCAACACCTCCTGTGGGGTCTTCCTATCAGCCTATGCAAACTAATGTGTACAATGGACCAACTTGTCTTCCTGTTAATGCTGCCTCTAGTGAAGAATTTGATCCAGTTCTGTTTCAACAGGATGTAGCTCTTCCTAGTTTAGTAAATCTTGGCTGTCAACCACTGTCATCGATACAATTTCATTCTTCAAATTCAGGCTCAACAGGACACCTTTTAGCACATACACCTCATTCTGTGCATACCCCGCCTCATCTGCAGTCCATGGGATACCATTGTTCAAATACAGGACAAAGATCCCTTTCTTCTCCGGTGGCTGACCAGATCACAGGTCAGCCTTCTCCTCAGTTACAACCTATTACATATGGTCCTTCACATTCAGGTTCTGCTACAGCAGTTTCCCCAGCAGCTTCTCATCCCCTTGCTAGTTCCCCACTTTCTGGGCCACCATCTCCTCAGCTGCAGCTTATGCCTTACCAGTCTCCTAGCTCAGGAGCTGCCTCATTACCATCTCCAGCCACTAGAATGCATTCTGGACAGCACTCAACTCAAGCACAAAGTACAGACCAGAGAGTTCTTTCTGCACCTTCATCCTTAATATGTCACAGTTTGTGTGATCCAGCTTCTTTTCCACCTGATGAGGCAACTGTGAGCATTAAACCTGAACCTGAAGATCAGGAGCCTAACTTTACGACCATTGGTCTACAGGACATCACTTTAGATGATGGTAAGTTCATCTATGTGTTCTTGAAGCAGTGAAGATTCAGGAATTTTCCTCTCTAAGAATCTTGAAAAAGTTACCATGGATTGCTTATTGGCATATGCTTGGGCTTTTAAATAAGTTGTTATTAGAAATATATGTTAGCTGGGCTTGGTGGCTCAGCCTGTAATCCCGCGCTTTGGGAGACTGAGGTGAGTGGATTGCCTGAGCAAGCGGGTTTGAGACCAACCTGGGCAACTTGGCGAGATCTCATCTCTACAATAAATCAAAAAATTAGCTGGGCGTGGTAGCGCGCGCCTGTAGTTCCAGCTACTTGGAAGGCTGAGGCGGAAGGATCGCCGGAGCCCAGCAGGTTGAGGCTGCAGTGTGGCAGGGAGCAGCCACTGCGCTCCATTCTGGGTGACAGAGTGAGACTCCAACTCAAAAAAAAAAAAAAAAAGAAATTTATGTTAATAGCCAGGCGTGGTGGCTCATACCTATAATCCCAGCACTTTGGGAAGCCGAGGTGAGAGGACTGCCTAAGTCCACAGGTTCAAGAACAGCCTGGGCAACTTGGTGGGACCTCATCTCTACAATAAATCAAAAAACTAGCCAGGCGTGATAGCGCATACCTGTAGTTCCAGCTACTTGGAAGGCTGAAGCGGAAGGATCGCCTGAGCCCTGCAGGTCGAGTCTGCGGTGGCCCGGAGTGTGCCATTGCCCTCTAGCCTGTATGATAGAGTGAGACTCCAACTCAAAACAAGCAAACAAAAAGTATAAATATATATATATATATATATATATATATAAACACACATAAATACATATATGTTAATACATAATTTTGAGAATAGGTATGAAAATCTGTGCTTTTTAAAGCTTATTTTACCACTAATATCTGTTGCTATTTAAATTAGGCATCATTTCTTCCAGAACACATAGTAAGATCACAGTGTCTCGAGAATGGAGTTCAGGGGCATTAATCCACTGAATATTGCTGAATGCTATCCTATCCTTTTGCAAGATGGAGCTAGACGCTGGAAATACTAGGAATGTATTGCTAGAGTTTCTGTCCTTGAGGAGATTTATACAAGTAAAAAACGGTAGCTCTGCCAGCTTGCTGAGTCAGGTAGTGGCGTTGGTACAAGATGGGACTAGTTTACTGTTACTGCTGCTACATCTGTTGGCACAAAGATAAAAAGAAGCTATTTATATAAATGTAGCAAGTTGGTGTGCACATTTCTGTTTTATTAAGTCAATAAAGTGGAAAACTCAGAAATATTAGTCATCTCAACAATGGAAAATTTTCCAAGATAAGATTTTTAGGTAATTATTTTAGAGTTTATTCTTTTTTTTCCTTCCTTTGAGACAGTGTCTTGCTCTGTTGCCCAGGCTGGAGTGGTACTATTCTGGCTTACTGTAGCTTCAACCTCCTCAAGCAATCCTTCTACCTCAGCCTCCTGAATAGCTGGAACTACTGGTATACACCTTGATGCCCAGCTAATTTTTTTGTATTTTTTGTAAAGACAAGGTCAGGCTGGTGTCAAGCTTCTGGTCTCAAGCAGTCCTTCCACCTCAGCCTCCCAAAGTGAGCCATTGCACACAGACTGTTCTTAGGTTTATCATTTATATGGTGATGAAATTTTGTCTAAACAGGAATCAGTGAAAGCTACCTATAACTATCATCAAATAAAAAAATTCTAAAGATGCTGAAACATAGATATAGAATTTTGGTCTTCTTTCTCATTCTTTTTTTTTTCTTTTTGGAGTCAGGTTCTCACTCCAGGCTGGAGTGCAGTGGCATGATGACATCGATCCCAGCTCATGGCAGCTCCATCTCCTGTGCTCAGGCAATCCTTCCACCTTAGCATCCTGAGTAGCTGGGACTAGACATGGTGTCACACCTGGCTAATGTTTTTTTTTTTTGAGTTGGAGTCTCACTCGGTCGCCCAGACTGGAGTGCAGTGGCCGCTCCCGGCTACCGCAGCCTTGCCTGCTGGGCTCCAGCGATCCTTCCGCCTCAGCCTTCCGAGTGGCCGGAATTACAGGCATGCGCTACCACGCCTGGCTGATTTTTTGATTTATTGTGGAGATGAGGTCTTGCTGCCCAGGCGGGTCTCGAACCCACGGGCTCAGGCAATCCACTCACCTCAGCCTCCCAAAGGCGCGGGATTACAGGCTGAGCCACCAAGCCCGGCTAATTTTTCTTTTTTT